GCTGTTTCGTGGATGGTGAAACGGGTCTTGATTATTTCCCGGAAAGATTGAAGCTCGAAAGTGTATATCGGTTTTCTGTTGACATTTGCTATTCAAAATCTGTGCTTTTTTAGAATATCTGCAGAGTGAGAATGTGGATTTAAAGGATCTTGTTATACATGATAAATGATGCAATGAGCTAATCAACAACACAATTAATGTAAGAAAGAAAATGGAACAAGAAAATTTGCCATAAAATTCCTTCAATTTTCAGATATTCAGCTAGTTTCTCGTGTAAAGATTACCTCGAAAAGAATTCACTTGGTCGGGAATGAAATTCTTCCATGGTCGAGAATGTCGAATAAAAAAGTAAAAACCCATCTCCTTAAAAACCCAAAAAGAAAAAAAAAATCATCTCCAAGCACCAAAATCGATCGACTGCAACGAAATATCACCAAGAAACAAATCCACCAAATGCTGCCTGCAAAGGCCCATCCTCCTCCTATGCAAACTCGGATGTATACAGCCCGAAAAGCCCGTTTTCCAGCCCGGAAACTTCTTCCTTTCCATCACATGAAGAGTGTAAACACACGAGGCCGATTCTCCGCACCCCACCACAAAACAACTGCATGGTCTCGACTCGCCCACATTTCGGGCCAATGACACCAAACACAAACCGCAATAATTTATACCGTAACTCAAAGCACCATCATATTTAAACTCTCGAGAAACAAGCTCCTTATTTGCTTCCTCCAGCTCGATTTCTTGTGTTGAGGGAATTTTACTCAGTTCTAAATCGAACTTCTTTTCAATCTCCCTCTCGTGAATCCTGTACTTTGCAGCTAATGTCCGAACGCATGACATTCTCACTTGGTTAGAGATAATACTCTTCACTTGGTCAAAATTGTCACACCCTTCGAACCATCTCAGCCAACGGTTGACTAATCCAACGAAAAAACTGAATATTTGACTGTCGTCAAGCAAGATCAACACGTGGCACGTACAAGCGTGTGCTTCCTGATTTACCAACCCATATCGATTGAGGCATTTCATTACAACTTTCACTGGAGCAATAATAATATTTCTTCTGGTAACATATTCCGGTGAAGTGTCCGGGCCCGATAAAAGGTCCCGTGTTAAAGCCGTTTCAGAAGTTACATATTCTTCGGCCCGTTTTTGGAATTCGTAGTAAGCATCTTTTAGTTCTTGGGGAAGAGCAGGCTCGACGATATTCCTAGCTAAAATAATTTCTTCTTCACTATTTTCCGCAGTTTTTTTCGCGTCACGTAAATCTTGCAGCCAGATTTTGAGCAGCTCTTTGTACCAGTGATCGGTTTTCATCCCGGGTTTTCGAAAACGGGAGATTCGGTGCAAGACCGAGCTTTTGTCAGCTAATTGCTCGATTTCTGACTCTTTGACTTTCTTAAGCCCGTGTGCCAGCCATTTTTTCCCGATTCTAACAGCCCCCACATCCCAAGACTCTCGTTTTTGCTCCGCGAATAGCTTTACTTTGTCCTTCAACTTGTGAACGGCTTTTAATGCAGGACCTTCTTCCACACGTCTCTTGATTAACGTGCCAAGAAATTTTACACCATTAGTATCACCGCACGATAAAATACCAGCCTCATTATTGTTGTCAACTTCCAAGTAGAGTTCGTTTTTCAAAAAACCTTTGATTTCGGACTTGAGAGATAGAGCTGTTTCTTTCGGGCCCGAAATGGCGAAAAATATCTCGTCCATAAAACGGCAACAGTGTACCCTCACATTTGTGTCACTCCCGAAATTTTCATCCTCTACACATTTACCATTTATTTGTCTCCTAAACCAGCCACGCAGCTTTGAGCGTGTTTTATTCTCTACATTATTACACGCGCACGAGGTTTCGTAATGCATCGACACTCTGTATATTTCTCGATCAAACAAATCGAGATATACATTCATTAGTATAGGGGACAAAATCCCTTCTTGCGGAAGGCCGTGTCCTTTGGGAAAACCTCCGAACTCCATGTTAAGCACATTGGCATCAAACATATCTTTTAATATAGCATATAGAGCATGGTCCTCTATTTTATCCTCCATCGAAGAAAAAAGTTTTCCGAGGAGGCAATCATCAAGTTTTTTGTTAATAATAAACGTGAACCACCAATCGGGGTTAGAAATCTCTTTACGGATATATCTCAATGCCGAGCAATGATCCCTACCACTTCTTAAACCGTGAGAAATTTTCGAAAAGTGTGGTCGGTAAACGACTTCCAAGACTATCCTGATGGCTTCTTGGACAACCCTTAGTCTTAGCTTTGGGAAAACGAGCTTTTCCTTCTTTTCTTTCGACCCTCTCGTCAATATTGAGTATGTGTTGGCCTTAATATCGAATTCTCCACTGGCTAGCTCATGGGCCATGGACTCAAAAGGCAAGTTATCATCTTTCGATGATGAATCGACATTAGAGGCTGCCCTTATGCAGCCATACGCCTCCCTTAATGTGTTTGGATCGGCAATCACATTTTTCATCAAGTCTTGGAATTTCCCGTTTTCGTACTGTTCTTTGACTTTCTTCTTTATGCGCATCTCGAGAAACCTCTTGACTTCGAGACGGGTTCTTGGCCTCGATTTTCGTATGTGATCGTCATGAGATTCTTGTACAAGGGATGCCAAATTCTTGGCCAGGGCCATTTTTGCAGTGCCTTCATCTTTGTCAACAGAATAATTCAAGGACTCATCCAACACATTTGCAAGATTCTCGGATAATGGCAATTTTCTAATTCCTTTATCGCCATCACTGTATTGGTCATGCTGATTTTGAGTTGAGAAAAATGTAACAGGCAGATATATTTGAACAGACCTTCCTGTATAAAAATAAACAAATACATAAAATTATAAAAGAAAAAAAGAAGACAAAAAGAATGGTTTCTTTTAGATATGCAAAGAC